CATGCTGGCTGTACTGTCTTTACTTACAAATGCAAGCTGACAGTCTGGCTGCAAGCAGCTATGTTTGATGCACTTGACAGCAAATAAAGCAGCATTGCTCCTAAAAGCTTTGTTTTCATTGGCCTGCAGTTCCCAACAGTGCAGCTGTGTCTGAGTTTTCAAGGATTCAAATCTCAATCCTCAGTCCACAAATCATATGTCCTATGGAGTCAAAGTTAAGTGCTTTCCTTTGGAACTGTGTTATATTTCCTTATTTTAGTGTCATTTGATTAGTTATTTTGTTATGTCTACTGTACAAACAGATGAGTTTCTGTGTAGAACATTTAAGGTTTTGGTTTTGCGTCAGATCGATGTCTTTGATTTAATTAAGAACTATGAATTGAATAATTTCACTCATGTGAGATGCTAGTTTGAGTTAAGCCCCAGGTGTGATAAGGCTATATGTTAAATCTGCGATTAGTCATTACATAATCTCACAACAGTTATGTAAATGCATGTATCCTACAGAGCAAAAGAGGCTGAGATGTATTTACTGTGTTAAGCAGTATGCTGTGCAAGAGCTTGCATTTCTGGAAAATACCCACTGCTCTGCAGTAGATACCTGTGTTAAATGTGAATGTTTTGGGATGTGCCTATCTCTGGAGCTGAAGAGATCATTCATACTCAAAGCCCTCTGAGGAGTGCCAGTAGCGGCTTTAGTGTGATGCAGTTTCGCTCTTTGAAACTCAATGTGGTTCACCAAAAACTGGGCCTGCCTGACTTTACAGGGTCCCTTGTAATGAAGTTCAAGGTGAAGATAGCCTGAAGGAAGGCTGCAGAACTATTTGTGGCACTTTACAAAAGATGATGGAGGATGTGTGGTTGTATATCCATGTCGGTTTTGATCTAGTGAGGAAGATACGGGATTTAGCACATGCTTCTGACTGATACAACTAGAGAGTTGGTCTTCTGCATATTTAAGTCCTGAATTATAAAACTGGGTACAAGGGCACGTATATTTTGTAGCAATTCTATGAGGAGAAATAATAATTTTAATACAGAGGGAAGAGAGGTGTTTAATTTACACACAATTTTGGTTTAAAAGTATGGGCTTGTGTAGCTGCATTGATAGACTCATTTGTGAAGGCTTAGTCTGTGCAAGCAAAAAGCCTGGATAGCTTAAACCAGTTTTTAGGAGAGAGGGGAAGGAGATGTTACAGTGGAAGGAGTCCTTCCCACTATATGATTTTATGTGGACTGTGGCTTTTGTGAGTAAGAATGTCAGAAAATAAATTTTGTCATTAGTATTGACACGATGGTAAAAGATACAGCCTTGGATATGTAGTCACAGGGAATGAGAAGGAATGGTACAATTTAGGGATAGATATAACCAAAATACACTTCTGCTACAGATCAAACATTGCATATGGTTAAAAAAGCTTCACGTTTATCTTATTGCTGAAAAAAATACCTCAACAGAGCAGGGAGTATGTTGAACATGTTGCATTGTCAGGAGCCTTACCTCTATGCAGTGCTGCAAGCTTGAAGAATTTGAGGTGGGGCTGTGCCAAAAACCTGCTTTTCATTTGGCAGCTAGTGTAGAATGTGGCTGGCTTCTTTCAAGAATTCAGTGTTGGAAATCTGTCTTTCATCTTTTTGTGGACATTTTGCAAATCCCAAGAACTTCCCTAAATTTTGTTAGTAGAAGAAATGGTTTGTTGTCTGCTGAATTCATTGCAAGTTTTTTCCATCGTTCTATAGTAGATAATGCTTTGAGCTCCTGATCTGAATACATCTTGGCAAATATATAATCTATAACATAAGAAAAATACAACCTTTAAAATAAGCCCTACTTGAAGTGAGACTCATTTTCCTTGGGAGAAGACATAGCCAAGACTACTGGACAGATTTGGATGATGCAGCTGCTCAGTCCCGATAAATTACAACAGCATTGTAGGAGTGCTTACTAAAAGCCTCAGGCATAAATAAAAGTCATGAGTCAAAGAGTTCGTACTACATGTGAATATGTGTATGCTGGATGCCAGGGTGTGAAATAGAGCATACAAGATCTTACCTTTGCTCTGACTTTGATTTAGTTGCTTATTTACCTGGCTGTTATCAGTTCTCGGTTCCCTGTGGATAGGCTACAAAGAGGCTGGGAAGACTCTTAAACCAGTTGTCAGTTTGCACAGATATAGCCATTGTGCTGTACAAAGCACTGGTTTGGGAGCTGGAAATCTCAGCTTTGCCACTGATATGTTTCATAGCTTATGGCAAACCAGTTCACCTTTGCCTTAGGTTCTATATCTACAAAGCAGAGTACATTATCTTGACTTCCTTTCCAGAATACTTCAGGATTTAGTTATGTCAAAATTCTATATGTTAGTTAGCTGATGGACTGCTCATGTTTCAGAACTGTTTCAGCAAAGCCATATCTGCTTCTGGCAAGACTTTGCTATTGACCAATGAATATTTGTGTTTAATGTCTTCTCTTCATCTGATTTGCCGACTTTACATTTCTACCTGCATATAGAACCTGCTGTGTTACAGTCAGCCCTTTCAAAGGGGATTGTGAAGATCAGGAGTCACGAGACATATGTGTTGTACATAAATACTTGATTTAATACATACTTAAATTTCACTGTTATAGGCCTAAAGAATTGTATGTAGGAATGTGGGTAAACAATAGCACGATGAATTAAATCATTGGCCACGGCGTCATATATGGATCCCTTTCTAACTGGAAACTGTATTGTTAGCACATGTTACTGAAATGTTGGGAGAGGTTGAAGTTGCATAATGCAAGGTACAAGCTTGAAGGGCAATATGATGATTTGATCTCTAAATCTTTCTTGAAGGTAGAGGGCCCTGCCAAGTGTATTTTGTGCCAGAGCACAGAAACTGTGATTCTTGGTCAAATTTATCTTCCTTGACTGGCACTCAGTTCTTGTAAGGACTATTCCTCTTGTTATTCTGTAATAGATTAAGAGGGCATAATCTTATGCTGTGAAAGAATATGAAAGCAAGGGGGTTTTGATGTGCAGAGCATGAGTCTGTAGAAGGATGTACAAAAGAAGAACTGATACTAATAGACTATGAAGATTTTTCTTGCAACAGAGTTATAGATGAGTATGAGTTCAGTAGGGTTGCATTTCCTCCAAATTAGTGGATTTTGTAACCTTTGTCACTCACCTCTAGCAAAATAGATGCACGGCACAGAGTAACTGCTTCTTGGGAGAATAGGAGGAGGGCAGTTTCAGGCTCACTGGACATGATTTGACAGCAGGATGCTCAGAAGAGATCTTGGAGACAGGCTGAAATGATAGTTTTAACAGAAGAAGATAGGTCTGGATTAGAAAGAAAGATCTATGAGTCATCTATTTATAATGGAATAGTGCTTATGAAAATACACAGGCAGAGGATGTGGGGAGACAAAAGAGGAACAAGGAAAGAGCCCTATCAGCAGCCACAGAAATTTAGAGGGATCCTCCCGTGTAAATGTTGCAGGACCAAGTAGAGATGGGAGGGCAGTTAGGAGGCACTGTAATTACAAAAGATATGGGAAAGGTGAAATTTCAAGAAGATGATTATGATAAAGGGTATGATGGTCACAAAGAATTGAGGTGGAACACCAATTCTAAGAGTTTGAGATGATTTTGGCCTCTCATGGTTTTGGTGAGTTGTTTCAGGGGCAGAACCTTGGTTAAATAGGATCTAAAGATAAGGAGGACTCCTAACCATGCATAAAGTTGGGCATGTGGAAGCAGAGGTGAACAACAGTAGTTAGATGACAAGCGTGGGATTTTAGTATCAGGAGTTTTAAGGTGTGTTTTTATTGTGAAGGAGAGAAACAAGTAGGACATGGTTTAGGGAGGACCTGAAGTAAAATTTTCTGGGGTGAACAAAAGGAGTTAGAAAACTAAAAATTTCTCTCTTTCAAAGCAGAATATGTGAGAATTGTAGGGAATTGACAGTGAGCTCAGGAGATAAGGAAGGTTACAAGCTGCTAAGTATGTGAAAAGTGTTATGCTTTTCTGTTAGTGAACTAGATTTGTAATGGTAGTCCACCAAGCGAGGACTATACACTGAGAATTTAGCAATTACTGTTTTCTGAAATGATGACTGGAAAGTGCTGAAGAGTTGTCATTTATTCTAAATGATGTTTAGAATAATAAAACATCCTTGTTTTATCTCCTTTTCTTGCAACAGATTTTTTGGTTTTTGAATGTCCAATCTACATTTAGTTTTAATATTTCACTGTTGCCCTCAAATTTATTTGGGGATTTTTAGCCTCTGTCAGTTGTCTTCTTGAATTGTGTGGAGTTGCGAGAAGGTGATGTGTGTATGGAATGGTATTTCAGCATTCTTCTTTCTCAGAGTTGTTTAGCTACTTATTAGTTATAATTCATTTGTAATGCAGTTTTAAGTGCAAACTTTTTTGTCAGTGAGCCTACTACCATAAATATTCACAGTTTTGGAAGTTAAGAAATAAATTTATTTCTTTTGCAGATGAAATCATTTCATGCTCTTTTTTTGGAAGAAGTGGTCAAAGAAAATGGATAACTATTCAGACTTCAATGCAAAGAATCTCTCATCTTCAGCTAATATGTCTATTTCTTTGCCTGGACAAGTTGGACTCAATAGCACTAGTGGTACTCCTTCTATGTCAATAAGCAGGCTTTTTCCAGCCCTGTTAGAATGCTTTGGAATAATTCTTTGCGGCTATGTAGCTGGAAGAGCCAACATTATCACATCAACTCAGGCCAAAGGACTGGGAAATTTTGTGTCCCGTTTTGCACTCCCAGCTCTACTATTCAAAAACATGGTGGTACTTAACTTTTCTGATGTGAATTGGTCATTCCTGTACAGTATTTTAGTTGCTAAAGCTGCTGTATTTTTCTTAGTCTGCGTTTTAACATTGTTGGTAGCCAGTCCTGAGAATCGATTTAGCAAAGCAGGTTTGTTCCCTATTTTTGCTACACAAAGCAATGACTTTGCACTGGGATATCCAATAGGTAAGTGTGCTTTCTTCTTTAAAATTATTTTTCAGTGTTCTAGATGTGTTTGCTTTCATTTTTTCCATAATTTGAAATTGACTTCTGAAATTAAGTTATGAGCTATTGAAGACATTTCTCAAGTCACATTTCTTGACCTTAGACCATGTATGTTTTAGTAAGGGAAGAAAACTGTAAGCTGTATGAATGAGGCAGAATTTACAACAATCCAACTACTGTTGTCTGTATGATCTAGTCATGTTAAAATAAATCAGATTTATTTTTTTTTTACTGATTTAAAATATAATTTCAAAATTGGTATATTGCCTTCTGGGAAATTTCCAGTTTCCCTCAGGACCAAAATTCCTTGCTTTGCAAAGTATGAGCCTGTACCTGTGGTCCCTGAAATAGCTGTAGTGGGGTTTTTACCGATTTGGCATTATGTCTTGGTGTAGCTCAAAGAAAAAATCTAGCCATAATGTTGGTGCCTACTGGTTGTGGAGTGTGTGTGACAAACTTTAAATCTGTTCAGAAGAAACTTCTCATTTTTGTGCTACTTAATTTATGTAGCAAATGGTATTTTATCCCATAATCTTTAGTCATGGAAGAAGTCAGTCTTTTAAAAGCAAGTGTTACAAGAAATAATACCATCATTTCTCTGTATCACAAGATTGCTGCGTGATTAGTGGTTACTTGCATTTGTGTATCAAATCGGAATTTTATGTGGCTGTGGTGCCATTCTCGGGATGTGTTACTAACCACCAGTCCAGCAGAGCTAACAAACAAACAAAACACAAAGAGGCATTCAGAGTATAACTTATATAGCTGTGTACTCTTGTTCTTGTAAGTATCTGAATTCCAAGCAACATCAGTTATTAAACTTAATTTATCCCACTATGCAAGACTTATTTTTTTCCCTTTTGATAAGCAAGATTTTTATTTATATATATATATATATATACGTTTTCTTAATGGTATGTTGATATGCTTCTAGCCATGCATACTGTGTGCTTAGGAAGCGGTGTGGAGTTGTAGCAGCCTTCTCCCACCTGCGGCTGCCTGAATTGCAGTGCTTTTTACCTGTCTTGGGAGGCACTTCTGTGCCAACGCAGCTTTCAGCGCTGCCTGCCAGGCTGACCCGTGTGGCTGGTGTGGGAAAGCACGCTGCAGGTATGGGGATCTTCAAAATACATCTCGAGTGGAAGGTATTTGGAGAGGCTGTCTGGACTATGTTTCATTTGTTTGCTGCTTCCTGAAGAGAGAATGCTCTATGCCTCTCAAATTCTCTTGAGATCACTCATCATCTAGACAAGGTTAGGAACAAAAAGAGAAAGCAAGTTTATTCTAGCAAAGCAAGCAGCAAGATATTTGATTACGGAATTGGAAATACAGTTACAAAAGAGAAGCTTAAACATGTAATTCCAGATTATATGTAACAAGTAGCTCTGTATTCTCCCTGTTCCAGAGCAACGTGCTCAGGAGAATCTTTAATCTTTTTTGCTCTCTTCAAATTTGCTGTATATGTCTAAAATATAGACAAATGCAATTGCAAACTTTTTCTCCATTAGATGAAAATATCCTGTTTCCCTCAGTTGCATCTCCTGAGTTTTATTCCTCTTGAGAGAAATCTGAATTATATCACAAATAGGGGTTGTAAGGATTACAACTTTGTTTCTTGGTACTGAATTAAAATGCCAGTTAGGGTTTCTCTTTTTCTATTTTGTCTGAACATATTTCTGTTGTATCCTTCTAGTTAAAATCTTTTTTCTACTTTGGATGACTTTCTTGTCAGAGTACATTTTTCTCCATGTATTTCATGATTTATAAGATATGATTAATATTTCTTCTATTTACAATCTGGCCAAATTCACAACATTTAGTTCATTAAGAGCTTTACTGGAATACTTAACAGTAACACAATAAGTACTTAAGAGTTGCTTATTTCTAAGAGCTGTTTATTTCGTTTTCCCTTCTTCCGACTTTCATCAGTGTTTGGTTCATGCTGTTACATGTGAAAACTTTACTGTTAGTGGCTTTTCTGAAGTGTTCGCATAACTGGGCAACAAAGAATGCATTGTTTATTTCTTTTATGTATGGTGATAGGTAGTGTTTTGAGAAAAGCCTGATCTTTTAATGGAAATATAATTTTAGAGGTTGCTTCAGTTTAAATTTATAAAGGAAAAAACTCAGTATTAACAAATACTGTGTATTATAATAAAACTATTTCAAAAGGCAGTTTGAACTCCTAAATAAATAAATAACATCCTGAGGTTTCAACCAATGTAATTTCTTTAATACCCACTACGCCATTTTTCGCTGTTTAACAAAGATTTTCAAATAGGAAAATTAAAACACAGGTTAAAGTTTTAAAGATTGCCACTTTGTTTTTCTTTAAATGACAGTTCTACACTACAAGTGATGTTGGTGTGAAAAACAACTGGTACAGGAGTTTGCTAGCACCCCCCTGACATAGATAAATTACTACGATAGAAAGCTTTGTTTTTTATTACTGGGTGAGATGATACAACTCTTGACAGAACAGCTTGTACTCTCTGGTGCTGTATTGTTGAAGCACAGGTGTAGCAGGAGTGTTGTGTGGACAGTGCCTCAGTTACCATGACACTTAATGGTGCTAACTGTATTGAGCATGAACAGCTAGTGTGTGATTTACATGTAAGTTTGAGCAGCTGGGATGTGGAGAATTGATTTTTTTTTTTTTTTTAAGTATTAAAAAAATCTTTGATTTCAGTTTTTTGTTGTGATCAGCAAGTAGTCACCTTGATTTAAATAAAAATAATTTTTTTCCATCAGAGATAGTTGTGGATTATTTCACTTTTTTTTTTTTTTTTTTTTTTTTTTCACCTACTGACTCATTAATCTACATTGGTTCCACTTTTTTCTACCCAGGAAAATACATTGTGACTTCATACATCAGTTAATACAATATATTAAGGTCTATAACTACTTTAAGTATACAGTTTCATTTTGCCAAAAAATAATGATTTATTACGTTTTTCATTCAGGCGTTATTTACATGTGAGTTGTGTTGAGTTGCATTTGATTGAAATGGGCATTTTGTATAAAGCAGCTCACTCTAAGGTTTGAGGTTTTAGAAAAAAAAATCACTTACATAAAAAGTGTCCAGCATGTTTGAAGTTTATCAAAATATATTTAGTGTTTAAAACTGGCTTGATAAATGTAGTAACTAACCACAAACTTGGTAGTTCTGTTCAGCAGTTTATTTAGGATTTTGAGACAGGTAGTCTTGTATATGTACTTTAATCATGGTCTGTAAGAGGAAAAGCACCTTTAGTGCCTTTTCTTATATACTGGAAATCAACTAATTGAGAATGTCAGTTTATTCAATCTGAAGAGGAGACTGTTTATAGTAAATGTTGATTTAGCACTTAGTAGATCCTGTCATTCCAGATGCTTAAATAATATGAAAGTAAAAATCTGATTTTGAAAACCAGGTTTTTTTCTTTTTTAGAAAAATAACAGGTTTAGTATATGGGAAAATGGAAATACCTGCAACAGCTGGCAGCTTAGTGATCTTAAACATTATTTAGTACTTTGAGTGCTAAGCTATCCCACAGAAAGGTCTAGTAGGTGTATTTATACAATAGTACTTCCTGGGTTTTTAATACTCTTTGTAGTACAAGTAAAATTGCACTGCATATTAAGATACTTCTGCCTGGGGAACAATGTGTTTCTTTCTAAGGTAGGAAAAACTATAATGGAAAGCATCATTTGGCATATTTCTGAAAATTATTAGAAATAACATTATAAGGCAGGTAAAAGATAACATCCTACTTTTAAAAACGTTGGGGTTTTTTAATTCACCCTAGAATAGAATCTTGTATATCTTTCCACAGTCTTTTAATTATTTTTGAAGTGCTGTTATCACAAACTTGAAATAAGAAGCAATTCTACCTTGACTCAGAAGTATGTAGTAGCAATGAAGACAAATGCTCATGATTTAAAATTCCTTGAGGGACTAGAGCTACAGCAATAATAGTCCCAGAGAATGAACTAGTAATCATGTGATAATGTATTTTGTATTTGGTTGTTGCTTTGCTGTATTTTATTGAATCAATGTAGAAAGGTCACCCCTGATTTATCCATGGAAGACTGGTTAAATTCCAAAGATGTGAGACTCCCCTAAGATGAGAGGCAACTTGTGTTCTGCAGAGGTGCATTTAATTCTCCACAACTGTTATTTTTGGGGGGAGGAAAAGCAATTAAGAACAAACCCAAAAATTTTTCAGTATTTGGGATGAGCACATGGGAGTGTTATATATTGTTTGTTTGTTTGTTTGTTTTCCTGTAAATGTTGAATATTCATAGAATCATTAAATAGTGTTGGGTCTTTGGTCTTTAATGTGTTCATTAGTCAACTGTGGTGTAACGGTGATTACTTACTACAGCATCTTATATTGATTGTAAATGCAGTTACTTCTGAAAGAAAATGAAATAGTTTTTCTCTAGTTTTCAGACAACAAAATTTAATTTCAATATTAATGTATTTTTGTACTGAAATGTCATCACTCATCACTTTTCGTTTCCTGTCTTCTAGTTGAAGCTTTATATCAAACCACTTACCCAGAATATCTCCAGTACATTTACCTAGTGGCTCCAATATCCCTTATGATGCTAAACCCTTTGGGGTTTATCTTCTGTGAAATCCAGAAGTGGAGGGATAATCGCACTGTGTCACTCAGCAAAATCAAAATAGTGGGCCTAGCACTCCTTCGAGTTTTGCAGAATCCAATTGTATTCATGGTCTTCATAGGAATTGCCTCAAACTTTATTCTTGGCCAGAAAATTCCCGAATACCTTGAAAACTTCCTTGACGGACTGGGCAGTTCATTTTCTGGCTCTGCACTTTTTTACCTTGGACTAACTATGGTGGGACAAACAAAAAAACTGACAAAGGGTATGTTTGTTGCACTGATCCTTCTCATCACAGCTAAACTGTAAGTTTGGTTTATGTACTTTTATAATTTTTGTTCTCTAGATGTTTTAAGCTCTGAATATACTGGTCAGATGGCTTTCCAATCAAAATCATTAAAATGATAGTATGTTTCACTTCCAGTATTTTGGGTGAGTGTTTCCCAAACTCTTTGACACTGTACAACTGTTAACTTTTAAAGGAAGTGTAGAAGACTACAAGCCTGTTGTCAAGCTCTGCAGAGAAAAAAATTCAGGGGTGCTGTGACTTCATGGTCGTCCCGGCAGGCCATCTGTCACGAATGGAGTGTTTGGGAAATTATTAGCTTAAATGAAAATTTAGTAGTTAAATAGTTAGATAAGAGTGAGTTTAAATATTATTTAATTAGTATTTGTATTTTCTTTGGATTACACAGTACTTCTCTAAATTAGATGATTTTCCTTGCTTTGTCTATAAATCTTTGAAACTGCTGGATTGGAAGAGCTTTAAAATGGTTGCTTTCTGACTTTTAAGCATGAATAAATGACAGTTTGAATTTAGAAATTATGCCATCATTATCTTCCCTTGAATATATCTGTTACTGGTGAACTAAATATTTTATTTGCTACAGAGCTACAATGACCATAATAGAAGGATTGTTTGCTGGTTATGTTTATACTGTAAAATTTGAAGGTGCATTTGGATATCAGTGCAACTAACTAGCAAACTTTAAAGACCTAGCCTGTAAACTATAAGCTCAATAGCAAATTTTGTAAGAACATTACCACTTTGCTTTACTAGTGTTTATGTAATTAGCTGTTGTAAGGCTTACATAGTGAGTCTGTGTGTGATCTGGGGTATTGCTGAAGGCAAATAAAAGAGTATTGCAGGGATGGGTGGTTTTACTGGCCAAAACTTTCAGAAGGGATACTTAAGCTTGAGCCCATGCTGTATTTCAGACAGCTTACTGAAAAGTGGTCTAAATTGCAAAATTTCTGACTGCTTAGAGCTACTATTACTTTAACAGTTGAAAAATTAGGGGGGTGGTGGTTATATTTTACCTTTCTAAATCTGAGGTTTATACAAAGAACATGTCAGCACAATCAGAGAATGTGTTTATATCCTAGAGTTTGTTGTAATTTTTACCCTTTTTTGTGTGTATGGGTTTTTCTGGTTTAACTTTACATTTTGCAGCAACTGGTAAATGTCATGTAACAGTAAAGGCAATCATTCAAAACAATGTCAGGATTTTGCTTTTCATAAAGTATTCAGTAAAGTAAATAGTATTCAAACAAGCTTTAAATTGCCTTTTGGTTCATTTTCTGATAAGAGTCTATTGCTATAGCTTGAGTAATTTTTTTTAAATTACGTTTTTCTCTCTCTTTTCAGACTTATGATGCCATTTCTCTGTAGAGAAATGGTGGAACTCTTGGACAAGAGTGACAGCGTAGTCAACCACACCAGTTTATCAAACTATGCATTTCTTTATGGAGTTTTTCCAGCAGCACCTGGTGTCGCAATATTTGCAAGTCAATTTAATATGGAAGTAGGAATTGTATGTGCTTAGCTTTTCCCAAACATGTACTATCATTGAGCTTAACTTTGTTGATGAAATACTTAAATAGACTTGATAAATTTGATTTTCCATAGTATAGACTCCTTAGATTTACTTGTACTCTCTAGATCTCAAATATAAATTGTATTTTAGATTATTAAGCAAAGTACTCTCTCCTGGTCCTGATGTCTCAAGTGTCTTGATAGTACGTGTTCATAAATAAGACCTCATACTTTTCTTATTTGTCACTAGCAAGAAGAACTAGGATACCTTTATATTTAAAGAACTATTTTTGTTGTGGGTTTGTTTCTGGTTTTGGGTTGGGTTTTTTTTGTTTGGTTGGTTGTTTTTTTTTTCTAAAGACCTCATCTTTGAGCTACTGTTTTTATAGAAAAAAACAAATTATGTTACTGACTTCAGTAAGAACAGTGTTAGCTTAATGCTGAAAAATTATGAAAGAACTTAAACTTACGCTTTAACTGATTCTATTGTGTTGCCCTTCAGTTAAATCTTGCAATACAAATTCATTTTTTTATAGTAGGAGGTTATCAGTTATCTTTTCAGCTTAAAATACAAATGTTGTAACTGTTTCATTTCTTCCACTTGAAGTGACATTACAACATTTCTGTTGACTTCTATTGTTTTTGTTATCTATGTTGTATCTTTTTTTAAAGAAAATTTTTAAAAAAGATACTAGAAGTAAACCATACAGGATAGAATTTTGTCCCAACAAACTCAGAAAATCTCTTTAAAACAGAGATCTTTAGTATCTGTAGTATGAATAGCAATTCACACTTCCATCACTTTGCAAATTCTAGAAATCAGACAATGAGAAGTCAAAATAGAAACCACTTAAATGTAAATATATATGGCTTCTTCGCATGAATTGGTGCGTATTAGTATTTGCATAACTATATGTTTTCTTATTTATGGTGTGAATGTTTGCATCCAAAAGTAAATTGTGACATTGTAAATTCACCCATAGGCTGTAGTCATTAGTATATTTGACACCTGTCATAAGTATACTTGACACCCATGAAAAAGTTCTGTAAAAATTTGCAGTAGGGAATCTCTATTCCTACTATTTCAGAAGTCAGTTAAAATGTATGTATAAAATGGATACTTTCTGGCTCAAATTCTAAATAATTTGTTGTAGAAACAACTCAGTGATTTGTTAAAGGTCTATGTACATTTAATTCAAAGGTTCAATTTTGCCAGTGGTTGTATTCCTGAAAGCAGATTATTTAGTTTGAGATCTGATTAACTTTGTTCTTGTTTGTTTGACCATTTTTGCAGATTACCTCAGGCATGGTGATAAGCACTTTTGTGTCTGCACCTATTATGTATGTTTCTGCGTGGCTGTTGACCATTCCATCTATGGACCCCAACCCACTGGCATCTGCACTCCAAAATGTTAGCTTTGATATAAGTATTGTCAGCCTCATTTCTCTGGTAGGTATTGATGAAGTGAAATACAAAAGCACACTATCATGTCAGGGTAACATTAGTACGTAAGCAGCAAATGAAGTCATGATGTGACATTTCCTTGTCATATCCTGTTGCAGAAGGATGAGAAAGGAGTTAAAAAAATCTTCTTGATTTAGCAGTGGGTCAGCTGGAAAGCTACACTGTAGAAAAAGATGGTTAAGTGAATTAGAGCACTAGTGCAGGGCTTAAGAGTTTGTCCTTTTTGTGTGTTGTGGTTTGTTTGTTGTTTTTTTTTAAATAACAGGGTGTGAGGGAATAACAATACTAGTTTACACCACAGGGAACAATTATGTCAAGCCATGTGAGGTGCTTGGATATCACAGTAATGGAGGCTGTGTACAAAATTCAGCTCCAGAAATGTCAGTGAATATTTATTAAATAAGTGTTAATGTAAATGTTTAGCTTGGAAGTTTTAATTTAACTTTATCAAATTCATTTTCTATAAATTATTTTCTTAAAAATTGGGTTGATAATCCAGAAGTCCAATGTGAATAGCGTTTTGGCTTTATAGGCACTACAGACAGTGTGTTTGTTTTTTTTTAAATAAAAACATCCACATTGGAGGGAGTTGGAATTCACTTGTCTTGAAACAGTGCCTCAAGAGAAGACACAAGTAAACACTTCATCTTGATATCACAGATCATTTTGGGAGATTCAGGGTGGGGGAAGT